TATTATTAGAGGCTCCATCGCCATCAGTTTAGGGTCCTTGGCCTGGAAGACGTTGAAGACCCCTGTTCTTAAGTATTATTATTAACTGGCGAAGTAAGTAGGGTTTCAACGCAGTCAGAATAAAGCTGGAAAAGTTTGATTGAAGGGATTTATACATCTGCAAAAGCATGGAGACATAAAACTATAGATGATTACCAATAAATCTGCCTATAATTAAAGCCCAGACTATAAAAAGTGGGTCATAAAGTCAGTGTTTCTTCTATAGAATAGGCTAAATGTTACATATCAGTGATCCATCTTTATCCCATCACTATGAAGAAAAAAGTTTCTTTTCAAACTTTTGTGGCTCAAGCATGAACCCTTAACGGCGATAAAGCAGTAGCTTTAACTGGAGACCTGCTAGCTGCTCTGCTATGGGGGGAAATTTGTGTCATAATAGTTGGAAACAAAGAACATGTTCTGTAAATAAAAATAAATGCAAAATTCAATCCAGAAATGAAAGTTTACAAACGTTTCAATGAAAAAAGTTTTTTTTGTGTGTGCAAAAAAGTTAAAAAACAAGCTACTGGACTTTGTTTTCAAAGTTTGAAGAGGTTTTCACTTCTCATCCAGGAAGCTTATTCAAGTCAAAATATCTGGATTAGCTTTGAGTTCCAGACTTTATAGAGAAGCCCAACAAAGCCTGGTTTTGGCTTAGAAAATATGCAAATTGAACTGAAAGAAAAAGTCCACCTCTTAGTAACGGGGAGCCGTCAAGATATATTTATTAGACAGGAACAGTGTACATTAATAATTTCAACTGTTGTCCCTGGACAGATCTTAAAATTGTCTAAGATTTTTTAAAATTGTTGAGGTCTTTGTCGTTGTCGTTAGGGTCATTGTTGGCCTGCCCGACCAGGCAAGATGCTTTGGAAAAAAGTTTTTATAAGTAATTTTGAGGTTTTCTAATTTTTAAAACATTTTTTCTTCCTTTTTGCAAGTTGTATCTGCTCAGATTTTACTGCTTCAAAATTTATCTTTTCAGACCGAATTTTAGGAATTTCATTCATTTTAAAGTGTGTTTTCTCTTCTGGAGGCGGGCTTTCCTCTGGAATAATGAGTGAAGCTGCGTCTCTATTGGTCTGCTGGACGTTAGTGAGCACAATTTGATTGGTTAAGGGTCAGTGTTTGTTTTTGAATCTGTAAGGTGCAATTTAAGAAGAATTGAATTTGAGTAGCTCAATTTTTTACATAAAAAATGGAAAAAATAAAATAAAAATAAAGTTATGATAAAGGAAAAAATTTAAATAATTTGAAATGATAAAATCCTTGAAAACAGAACAGTTACCCTCAAAACCAGTTTTTGATCAAAAAACACCAATTGCACCAATAACGAAACCAAATCCAGTCCATAATTTGTGGGCCTTTTCACACGACGCATCATGTTATCACTGTGCCGTTGAATCAATTAGAGGATGCAGGTTTGGAATCCGCTTTAGATGGGTCAAGAAAGGGCAATAAGAGAGATTAAAGTCATTTCCAACTCTGCTAGAACACAAGCACATTTTTTCACCCAAGGCAAACATATTGATATTGGGTTAAGGCCCCATTGCTGCCTATGGATTGTGACCTTGGTGTGTATGTCAGGCTTTTAAGGGAGACAAATTAGACCCTGCAATGGTCAGAGAAAAGCCCCGGAGCAAAAATGAAATCAATGAAGAGGACATAACAGTGCTGTTCCCCAGCTAGCACCGCTCAGCACACACACACACACTGAGGGCCAGGCCTCCCAGATATTGATGTCTGTGCAGGAGGCAGAGAAGCCGTTGGTTGGGTGGTCCATGCTGGAAATCCCATTTGCCACCGTGGAAAGAAGCAGCGCCTCCTTCCTGTTCTGTGTCAGTCCAATTTTCCCACACCGCTCCATCATTTGGTCCCTTTTTTCAGATTATTCTATCGATTAAGAGAGCAGGTGTCTTTACTAAGCCATTTTCTGGTGTTTCTTATCTATTTTGAGAAGGAGCTGATCTACTTGCAGTGCCTTTTTTTTTTTTAGCTATGAACTGCACAGTATTTGAGTTTCACCTCCTCTCTGCTTTAGATTATTTCATCTTTGCTTTTGTTTTCTTCAGGGTGAAGATGGAGGAGCCGGTCAAACTGATGGTAAGCATTCAATCATAACAACTCGTATAACCCACATCACAAAAAGGGAAGTCATATTTAAATGTCAAATCATTCTGGCTTAAACATGTATATAAATGTACTCTTTTATTTTTCATTATCTTATGCAGGCCAGTTAGTTGTACATCTGCCTGAATACCTAAATTCAGTCAATCATATATCATCTGTCATCAAACTTTTTCGGTCATAGCATCTTGATTCATATGTCGACATGAAATAAGAAATAGGAATGATTTCCTTTCCCATTGAGTTCCGTCCCAGTGTTCACGGGGATGGACGTCTGTGTCTTCAGCAGGCGTAGAGCTAACAGAACTGGCAGCGTTGCGAGGCAAGGGCTCAAACATGTACGGCTGGAAGCCTTCTACACCAAACCAAGCTTCTGCCGCCCTGGCGTCCTCTTCCACAACATCTCCGTCCCCGCTAGGGGTGTGCAAATAATCGTCATGATGATGCATCGTGATTCTAATTTTCGTGATCTACTGCATCGATTCTTGACGCCAAGTATCGATTATTAATTTAAAAAAACGAATAAATAAAATTGCATGAATGGTTGGCGAACATCAGCCAAAAACAAGTGTAATACAACTTCCAGTCCAGTAGATGTCGCTGCGGATGTGTTGACGCATGCTGCCTTGTGTCACAAGCATTTCCGGCCGCGGGATACTGCGCCGAGTCATTCAAAAACAAAACATGGAGGAGAAAATATTGCAATGCATCGCAATAATTCAAGTATCGTGATGCATCGTGATAGAATCGCATCGTGGCCTATGAATCGTGATTCGATCGAATCGTGACTTCTTTGGCAATACCCACCCCTAGTCCCCGCTTTCCTCCTCTAAAAAAAATGTATGACGGAGGAGACTCGTCCACGACCTCCGACACTAAACTCTGTCGTTGCTAAGTCACCAATTTAGTGCTACAATGTAATTTCCCATTGGGAACCTAGTAGCACTAAGTTGCTAACTGGTTAGCAAGATGCTTCAGAGACACCGGCCACAATCAAACTTGCTTGTGAGCATTCTGCCACAACAATCCCGCCCCCTTGATAATCGACAAATCACATTCACTTTATTCACTCGTGTAAAGTCGGAGAATTCGGAACTGCAGCGGTTGGAAGAGCAGCTTCCCTACGACTTTAATGTGATCAACCAATGCACACAATAGGGCAGAGAGTTAAATTAGATCATGCATTTATGTTGAACTTTCTTCTTAATAATAATTAGAAACCTTAAGCTGGTTTCCCTCTGAGGTCACATATTGTCCAAGAAGTACAGCTGATTAGTCGGGGATATACATCAGTATCCCTAGCTTTGTACATGGAGATGATGCTGATACAGGCACTTCAGCCTCAGCACTTCACTTTCTTCTTTATAGTTCATTTGTGGCCTAGTCAAAGTTTAGACCTTAATCAAATTGAGAATTTATGACAGGAGTAAAAATATATATATATTTTCAACACTAGATTGTAAATGGATTCGAGTTGATTCACTCATTAACTCCCGTCTCTCTACTCATATGCAGATGCCCAACACGCCGCTGCTCAAAACCGCATGACCTCCAGCAGCCTGATGCACGTGACGGACCTGGTGGTTTCCTTCAACGACCTCGACAACCTTTTCAACTCTGATGAGGATGATCTAACGGTGGGTGGAGACCCTAAGTGCACGGCTATCCTCCTCTGCTCCTCCTGCAGACGGCAGTCACTTCTTTTGTTCAGCTAACCCAATGATGAACTTTTGGCTCCTTAAGGTGAGAGTTTCCATATTGATGATCATCTCTGCTCTTTGTATCCACAGCCCGGTACCAGGCGGCCTGTGAACGGGACCGATGAGAAGTTTGGCAAAGAGTCAAAGCCATCCTCGTTGGACCCAGCCTCCTGCATTAGTATGTATTTCTCCGTCTCTTCAGTGTTTTACACATTCAAATGGACGGACTCACAGCATGTCTGTTCTAGAGTAAGATCGTTACACAGAGATTTACCCACAGTTTGCACAGTTTGAAGCTTTCTTGGTCCAGGAACTGTTGGATGCTCACGCTTGGCTTCGCCACCTAGTGGTGGAAAATATTAGTTTTAGCTCAGAAGACTTAAGCTGCGTTCACACCAAACGCAGCAGGAGCAGCAAAAACGCGACTGCTGCTTCCTTTTTGCTGCTTGTACCAGTTAGTTCTGACGCGTGGCTGAAGCAGCTTTGCTGCTCTGGCTGCGCGGTGGAAAGTGGGTCTGACGCGCGTTTGGGGGAGCTGCTCTATCCTTTCTTTGCCTTGCAGCTATATTTGCTGTGATCAGTGGGAATAAAGTAGTTTTAATATGTTTTTAAGTGGGAAAATCCACCTGAAAACTTCCTCACTGCAGTCCGTTCATTAAGATGACCATCCTGCCTTCCAATATTATTTCTGTCGGAGCCGCTCAGACACCCACATACCAGCGGTGCGCTGTCAGTAGGAATCCCATTCAACAGCAGCCTATGGCCCGGTCGCCTCCTTGCGGTTCGGCTCGGCGGCTGGAAAAGCAGTTTTCATGTACTTAATCCAAACTGCAGACACCAGGATAATAAAAGCGAACATGTTTTGTCGGCGGGTTTCAGCATTTTAAGTTAATTTAGGCGTTAATAAACTGTTTCAGAGGAGCGATCATAGCGCTCTGTATCATCAGCGATGTGTCGGTCTCCCTTCCAGCTCCCTGCCTCTGATTGGTTGATGGGGCGCATCGAGCTGCAAAAGTTAAATTTTTCAATCTTGAGCAGCAGCGCTCCCGACGTGCTGCTCCTGCTGCTCAAAATGCGCTGCGGGATATTTTGCTGCGCCTTGATGCGCGTCAACCATTGACTTTGCATGTAAACTTGCTGCTCCTGCTGCGTTTGGTGTGAACGCAGCATTATAGTTATCAGTGGATTAACATTAATGCCATAGTTATTAAGAATTATCTGGATGAATCGGCCACAGCTTTGCTGAACTCGACACCTTTTGCTTTGATGCTATTCAGCTTTGTTGCTTTTAGCGTATAGAACATCACCTGTTGCTTCTTGTGGCCGATAAAAAAAACAGATCAACATTTTAAAGGCTTTTCAGGTTTGGAGACAGAAATCAAACCTGGAAAAATGTTTGAATCTCCAGATTTGTTTTGATGTTTTGATCCAGTTTGTTTTCCATTTTTCTCCATTCAGTTCAAAAATCCTTTATTCATTATTATTGACATTCATCATCGTTATTTTTATTACTACTTGATTTATCACCATGACATCAAAAGCAACCCGTTTCTCCAACCACTTGGCAATATTCCAGAGTTTTTTCCCTTTACCATTACATCTTTTTTTTATTTCTATGACACCATCTTACTCTAAGATGTTAACAATTCTCATCCTCTGCACGTTTGCACCAAGAATCTTCTACTCATCAGAAAAGCTTTTATTTAACTTGAAAAAACCCAGCTTCTGCTTTGGTGTTTAAACGAACTCATAAATACATGAGAAGCAGCAGGCAGTGGGATAAATGTGTGGATGTAAATGTTTGATGAGTGCATGTTAGGTTTCTATCTTCATTATTGTTTCATATTTACACCAGACTCTCTTCAGCTGCAGTTCGCTCGTCGTCTTTCCCTGCAGAGCCCAGCTGACATCAGCAAGTATCTTTTACAGAAATAACAAACGACTTGTTAGACGCATCGAGGCATATGCCGGATTCACATTGCATGGTTTCCAGATGTTTGTTGTGCAGTGTGAAACAGGACATCTATCGTCTGCTCGTTCAGTGATGTGATTGACGGGTAATTGGACTGGTGATGCTAGCTTTTCCTTTGCCTTCCTCCAGGTTCAGACCTACAGAGTTTTCCCACGCCTCCATCCCTCGAGCAGCAGATCATGGGTTACTCGCCCATGAACATGTGCAGCAAAGATTACGGCATCATGGAGACTAACCACGGCATGACCATGCTGGACGGGACCTCTGTGCTGGGGGGCCACTTCAAGATCGAGGTGGAGGAGAGCTTCTGCAGCCCCAAACCGTCTGAGATCAAGGTGAGTCCAGCTGCCTGAATGTCGGAGCTTATGACGTTTGTTTAATTTAGATTCAAAGGAAAATAAAAACGGAAATGTTGAGCTTCCACATTTAATTATACATCCTGACCCTGATTGGCATGATGGCGGCGCTCCAAGGCAGCGGCCGAGAGCAGCTCTTCTCGACAATTTCACAAAATACGATGCTTAAAATTTAAAAATTAAAGTTTTTATGACCGAAATTGCGGAAAACAACTCGTGAAGTTTGACCTGCTAGAAGAGCGGGAATGCTGGGAGCCTTTTTCCACCTGGATCTCTGCTCTTTTTGGCCCTCATGTCCCTCCATTGTCGGACTAAACTCGCCCCCACTTCCTCACCGCCTCGGCCGTATCTAGACCCACTGTGTGTAGCACAGACCATGCTTAAATACTGAGCTTAAATAAAAAATGTCTGTGTCAAGCTTACTGCAACACACTGCTGTGAGAGTATAACCAGGAAGCGAGGTAGGAGGGAAAAATAGGTTTAGCGCCACCGCAGCACGGGAGGGAGAACTACGTCCAAGAGCAAATGGATAAAAATAGACCGGAGGGGAAAAAAACATGAATCGATTCTCTTGCGGACGTGTCGATGCATCAGATCGTCGGCTGTTGGATCGATGCATCGATATAGAACGATTATTATTTACACCCCTAATATGTAACTGCTGCACCATCATTCTGACGGGGTCTTGGCTGCATCCAGCAATACCGGATGGTGCAGTTGGCCTGGTGGGGTGATGCTGTACCGCGCCGATAGAAATAAAGAGCTGTGCGTGAATGAAGGCTCCTCTGAGACTGTTCCCAGGCAATCTTCGGCATATAGATATATCTGCTTTAGTTAGTCACATTTAATGTTTCTTATAAAGCTGATAAACATGCAAAATAGAGACGTACTCAGAAATGTTCTTTATTTAGGCTGAGAGAGAGAGAGAGAGAGAGCAAGACCTGCATCAACTAACATGAAGGCTGTGAACAACTTTTTCAGCATGCGATCGCAGGCTTTTGGATATACAGTTAGCTCTGCTAGCAATGCTAGGTGCTAATTTATGATGCTAAATCTGGAATCCTTTGCTTTTTATCTTAGTTTCAAAGTTTAGTTTCATAGAACTTGGTTGGTCAACAGGAGTTGCTTCATCTATACACATGCATGTAAATATTAGATATGTGGTAAATAGATGATTATCAGCAGCAGAAAGGCTGGGATAAAAATGTTTAGGATGCTGCTTTAATATTTTCTGATGTTCTGATTGAAATCGGCTTAAAGTCAATAATAGAAATGGCCTTTAGAATTCAACCTGATTGATCTGTTCCAGTCTGTGATGTGAAGTTTTTCTCCGGTACGTGACGACAGCAGCAGGAATGATTCCTCTCAGACGGAGGAACCAAACCTGCAGTAGATAAAGAAAAAAACGGTTCTGATCAGAAGCAGGAGAAAAACGGCGCCAGGGTAGAAGCAATGATCTGATAATATGATCTGGTCAAGAATCTTTTTTTTTTTTCTTCTTCATCTCTTATTAAATACTTGCCTCACTGTGTGAAGCTAAGTGGACGTTCATCTGAGCTTCAGCTGTCAGAGTCGTAGCTCCACGTTGTCCATGCAGGTTCTATTTGTCTCGTGTTTGGTCCGCGGGGCAGATGTGTTTCCTCCAAATATGCAGCCTGGTTCTGCCACATTAAGGCTGCAGTTGTCCATTAGAACGCTCCGGTTAGAACCTCCACAGGGTTCAAGAACAGCAGCGGGTTGGATTTCTGCTTTCATAGTTTTTGGTGATTAACTCGATACTCCTAATAAGGTGTTTTTCTTGTTTGATTTTATTAAACCTTTCTGGATATTCCTGAAGTTCCTGCTCTGCTTCTTTATTATTTTAATTTCCTGGAAACCATTTTTTTTTTGTTTTGTCTTCATAGGACTATTCGTTTGTGTACAAGCCCGAGCTGTGCCAGGCGTTTGTAGGCTGCTCCATGTTCGCCCCCCTGAAGACGCTGCCCAGCCAGTGCCTCCCCCCTGTCAAACTACCAGAGGACTGCGTCTACCGAGCGAGCTGGACCATGACCCGAGACGTGCTGCATCCTGTGCCAGTGTTGGGCTTCCTAAACAAAGACAGGTAAAACCGTAACCTCCTTTCCTGGAGTTATCCTTCTGTCTGCGCCCTCCAAATGTTCTCTCCCTGAACGCCACCTTAGCAGCCAGCTTCACTATCCACACATGGCTGCCTTAGGCAGAGCAGACAGTTGAGTAGAAATACCTGCCTGGTATCTCTGCTCTCGTTTCCTCTCCTGTCAGCTTGGTTTAGTTTAACCAGCTTGGATTGTGGAGACCACAGAAGAACTCTTCTGTCTTCAGAGGCTTTTAATTCGTTCTGTGTTCTAAACATTAAATCAAGTTTTCCTTTTCTTTCCCTCATGCTAAGCACTTAAACGCTTCATCAAATCAAAGCGTGTGACCCTGATGTCTGTGGGATTTCTATTGAATCAGTTAGAACCCCCAGACGGCCACCCACAGGTCCTGTATGTGGTATTAAAGGGTCAGGAGGGCCTGGAAGCTCATCTCTGCTCTCTAAATAAGCCTGACCTCAGATCAGTCCATGGGTGAGGATGTTGATCTGAAGAGCAGCTGCTACTTTGGTGTCCGTCTCACACTAAATGTGCCGTAGATGGGACTTCATGCTCATGTACTTCTCATGTACGCTAGGACATGGCTTTGTTACCTCATAGCGAAACATGTGGAGGTTTGTTTTAGTGATGAAAGTATGAGCGGTCAGATATCTCAGCTTCCATTATCTGTTAAAGGAAAAGACTGCAATAATCAATGGATCACTATTTATACCTAAAACTAATATGTTGGCGGTAATTTAATGAATTTAGCGTTAATCAGTAAAAAAATAGACATAATCATTTTCGTTGCAATCACCGAGTCTGGGAGCGGCCATTTTTGCCCAAATATAGTAACCCCTCCCTCCTGCCATCTTCCAGCAGTGACGTCACGGTGCAGTAAGCCTAGCGCCATTCTCTCCGCTTTACAAGCAAAATCAATGGGAACTACTAGACACATCTGCAATCAACAACAATTATTCAAGATTTACAGAGGACTTCACCATTGAAATTCACTATAGTGAAACTGATAATGCCTACATGCATGGCAGCTGGATGCTGGAATACATCGGGTAAAGGTGAAAAAAAATATATAGTTGTATACCTATACCTTTCTGATTCCTGATCCTCCACAGAGGGGTTCGTCGTTGGATTTCTAAGAGGGAGGATTTGCCATTGAGCTTCTGGCCAGAGAAAAAACCCGTAATATGTAGCCAACATTTAGAAGAAGAATGTTTTCAAGATGACTTGGATAATAGCGCGTTGTGACAAACACCAGATACAGCACTGGGACTTGATCAACAGCCGATACCGCACCGTGACGTCACTAACCGGTAGGTGGCAGTAGTGTTCTTTGACAAACATGGATGCCTCCAGTAAAGGACATTCATATGAAAATTACTCTTAATTAAAAACACTTTTATTGATTGATTTATTGAACAATATGTAACAATTTCATATTTAAAGTACTTTCAGAAGTTTGAGTTCTGATTATGACCGGACTTTACCTTTAACTCTTTTCGTTTAAGGCGATATTTTAAATATTCAATGAGATAATTGGAAACATTGTAGGTACTGTTAGAAAAATTTTGTCTTTTGCGTTTTTCTTTAATGCAGCTTAGATTATAATGTCCAGAAACCGGTGTCATATAAAAGGAAGCTTTGGATCTGTGCAACAACAAAAAAAAAAACTGTTGATCAGAGGTCTCAAAACTCAGAAAATCAGATATTTTGGTGAGCAGTGAACACACCATATGCAGGTGATACCATGTCCTGCTATCAGGGAACTCAGTCAGACACTTTTACTCTAAAACCAGACGAACCGCATTAAAGCAGCGCCTCTGTGGTTCCCTCAGGGGGCGAGAGATGGAGCCCCTCAGCAGATAACCTGAAGAGTTAGAATAGCTCAGTTTTGATTCAGTTTGGATTGCTACTGAGTAAACTTTGTTCAAATGTTGTAGAAAAGTTGTAGGCTCAGCATTCATCCACTTCAGTTTTGATGTTCTACCTGCTGTATGTTTCATGTTTTTATCTTCCTGTCAGCAATCAGGATGAGTCTATGACCGAGACTGAAGGGGTTTACGGTTCAGGTTTTCCCTGCTTTTCTCACATATATGTACAAATACAGAGGGAAATGGTTTTAAAATCACTCTTTTAATAGAATCCGCCCGTGTCATTTTGACCACCTTCAGTGTAACCAGCATTTGTGCTGAAATGCGCTGGACAGAGCCCAGAGAGACGGAGCCCAGATGTCAGAAGTGAAAGGAAAAGAAATTGAGCGTAGCGACCCGCTTCACTGAAATACGCCGAGTATTCTGAGTGATACGTCTACAGGACGCATTTTTTGTCTCTGATTATTTACTTCAGTGTAAATGTAGCTACTGTTAGTGATGCTAACTGTATAAGGTCCTAGAGTGGGACGCTAAGTGATGAAATCCTGTTGATATTCTCTCTAGTATAGATTTTTAAATGACTGCTGTAGACTTTAAATAAACGTAGACTTTGGGAAACAGATGAGTTTTACTGTGGAACCTCCTCTAATAACTGCTGTCCTTCGATGTGTCTGCCTTCAGTAATATTCCCAGTGTGGGCAGCACCATGGACCAGGACTACACCCAGACCTACACCCCCCAGACCCACACTCCTTTCATGTCCAACAGCGCCCCCCCCAGCAACAGCGGCGCCGGCATCCTGCCTTCCCCCGCTACGCCACGCTTCTCCGCCCCAACCCCACGCACGCCTCGGACTCCGCGCACCCCTCGGGGCCCCTCCAGCGTCCAAGGCTCAGTAAAGTACGAGAATTCGGACCTGTACTCTCCGGCCTCCACGCCTTCGACGTGCCGACCGCTGAACTCGGTGGAGCCGGCCACAGTCCCCTCCATCCCCGAAGCCCACAGCCTCTACGTGACGCTGATCCTCTCCGAGTCGGTCATGAACCTCTTCAAGGACTGCAACTTCGACAGCTGCTGCATCTGCGTGTGCAACATGAACATCAAGGGAGCCGACGTGGGCGTGTACCTGAGCGGCGCCGACGGGGAGGACCAAGAACCCTGCAGCTGCGGCTTCAGCGCCGTGGTGAACAGGCGCTACGGACACGGCTCGGGCCTCTTCCTGGAGGACGAGCTGGACATCATGGGCCGCGGCTCGGACGTCAGCAAGGAGGCGGAGAAGACCTTCGAGGAGCAGAGGCTGTCGTCACTGGAGAGGACGGGGGTCAGAAACGGGGACGGCTTCCCAGACGAGCTGATTTTGCTCCTGCAGGACCAATGCACAAACCCATTTTCACCCATCTCGGTAACAGAGCATGAGGCGGCGGCGTGGGGGCCGAGCGGGGCCCCTATACCCGCCTGCATACGAGTGGAGGAGAGGGACTACCGCAACGACTGCTACATGGCTCTGGAACACGGCAGGCAGTTCATGGACAACATGTCTGGAGGCAAAGTGGACGAGGCGCTGGTGAAGAGCAGCTGCCTGCACCACTGGGCCAAACAAAACGGTGAGTGGGGAACCATCATCAGATCACTAGTGTTAAATATAGTGTTAAAATGATGATATAAATATCATCATTTTATTTGAACAAAGTTTCAGGCATTTGCCCTTGTTACGGCCCCTGGCCTTTTAAGACTGTGCATCCCGGACAAGCCCCCAGTGCGCAGCTGTATAGCCTTATCAGCCTCTATTTCCAGCCTTCTGATCTCTAGCTCCACTGCAGTCCTCAGACAGCCAACAAGGAAGATCTGTCAGAGCTGAACCTGCATAAGAAAAGCCTGCTCAGTCTTAAAAGGCCAGGGGCCGTAACAGCCCTGCTAGGAATGTTGAGTTGTTTTAACTTCAGACGGGGAGAGCAAATGTTTCTCCCAGGTCCTGGTCTTATCCAGCCATGCTGCTGCAGGTAATCGATAACAACTAGCAATAAACCTGCACCTCCTTTATTGTATGTTTAAACTTCTGATCCCTCCTGTTACACTTTTGAAGTCCGATAATAAAGGCAGGGGACAGAGAGGTCCCAGCAGAGTTGATCACTTATTCAGGGAGTCTCTTCTCTCCTCTTCTGCAGAAAAGTAACTTGTGTGTTTGTGTTTGTTATTTGTAGGACAATAAAGGGTTATTATCATTTAATTCTAACAACTAGGAAGCAGATATTTTTCTAATACTGTCTTTGGTTTCTTTGCTCCGTTCTCAGCGGTGGACGTGAGTTCCCTGTGCTCTCAGGATGTGCTGCGGGTGCTGATGTCGCTCCAGCCTGTTCTCCAGGACGCCATCCAGAAAAGGAGGACAGTGCGGTCGTGGGGGGTGCAGGGTCCCCTCACCTGGCAGCAGTTCCACAAGATGGCAGGGCGGGGCTCCTACGGTAAGCTTAAAGCATCAGATTATCTCTCATCTCTCTGATCCTTCAGTCTTTTGGACAATCTAAGGGGATTTTGTCTTTTTTCTGGCCTCCACAGGCACAGACGAGTCTCCAGAGCCTCTGCCCATCCCCACCTTCATGGTGGGCTATGAGTCTGATTCCGAGTTCGTGGTCCTGTCTCCGTTCGGTTTGCCGTACTGGGAGAAGCTTCAGCTGGAACCGTACGGCTCTCAGCGGGACATCGGGTACGTCGTCGTTTGTCCCGACAGCGAAGCCATGCTCAGCGGCGCCAAAAGCTTCTTCAGAGACCTCACAGCTGTTTACGAGGTAAAAAAAACAACAAACAAAAAGGACAAAATATCGTACAGTGCATGCCCAGCTTCAGACTGTCAAAATAATCTGCATCGGTTTTTAAATAAAAACTGTCGACCAGTTTTCAATCCTGCTGTGCTTTGATGGTTGATGTGCTGCGGTTTAGTAACGGTGACCCTCCAAGGCAGCTGGTTTCTCTGGCTTTTATTTAACAGTGTCAAAGATTAATGAAATAGCAAGAATATAAGTGAACCATGTTTCCTTTTCATGTTGCTCTGATGTGACAGAAAGTCCAGCTTAAAGTAAAGCCTGTCTTATTGTCGACCCCTCCGCTGCACCTTCTGAACCGAAACTGTTTGGTTTTTCCAGTCCTGTCGCCTGGGTCAGCACCGGCCTATTTCCAAGAGTTACCCTGATGGGATCGTCGTCGTTGGCGGCAGTGCAGCCAAAAACGTCATGGATCAGCCCGTCAGCGACTGGTTCCTTAAGGCTGCCAGCAGCAACAGCGACGCCTTCACCAAGCTAAAGCTCTATGCACAAGTTTGCCGGCACAACCTCGGTACGTGTCGCTTGCAGCTCATTTAAACAACACAGCCTGTTCTCTGCACATCACTTTATTCAGTCGCTTTTTCTTTTCGGTTTCCACTGTATGGTTTGGATTTAAATTTATTTTTTATGAAGTTAAGAAGAGAACTTTGTGACATTGAGTGATGGGCTTTTTTCGTTTTTGTTTTTCCCATCAAACATCAGGATAAACTGGTGATTTTTTTAGGTGATTTTTTTTCCCCAGATTTTTTTTAATTTGAATCATTTTGTCCTGAACGTACAAAAGGTTTGGATGCATCATTCTTTAGTGATTCATTCAAACCTTTCAGCATGAAGGCTAGAATGATGAGGCAGTATGAATGAATGAGAGGTTTGAATTTTATGCATTTTCTTTAATAATTTAACAAAAAATAGAAAATGAACATGCACTGTAATATTTAGTTAAATGGCTTCCAAGAAGCTGCAAAAAGAAAAAAAAACCTGCTAATCTTTTATAACCAAGAAATTTCTGGTTGCATCATCTTATTTCCTATTTGGCTGTTTTTCTTTCTTTAACCCTGCTTTTAAAAGTCATAGGGAAGTCATATTTAAATGTCAAATCATTCTGGCTTAAACATGTATATAAATGTACTCTTTAACAGACCATATTGTCCCGAAAGTCTTCAGCAGGCGTAGAGCTAACAGAACTGGCAGCGTTGCGAGGCAAGGGCTCAAACATGTACGGCTGGAAGCCTTCTACACCAAACCAAGCTTCTGCCGCCCTGGCGTCCTCTTCCACAACATCTTCATCCCCACTTCCCTCCACTAAATAAAAAATGGATGACGGAGGAGACTCATCCACGACCTCCGACACTAAACTCTCCTCCTCTTGCATGTTTCCTCTGTCCATAGCGTTCCTTGACAGTGTCGTTTCTAAGTCACCAATTTAGTGCTACTTGGTCCCAATGGAATTTCCCATTGGGAACCTACTAGCACTAAGTTGCTAACTGGTTAGCGAGATGCTTCCGACAAACCGACCACAACCAAATTGCTTGCAAACCTTCCGCCACAACATTCCCGCCCCCTTGATAATCAACCAATCACATTCACTTTATTAACTCGTGTAAAGTCGTGCACCACTCAGGAGAATACGGAAATGCAACCGGCTTTAAATAAAGTCTGGATGTTTTTAGAAAGCTTAATTTCCGGCTCTCTAAATCGGGGGGTTTTCAGTAATGGTTTCTGAGTTTTCCAGACTCACCGTCCCGCATGTTAAAGGTATTTCCCTGTAATAAAGAAGTATTTAACCAAAATGTTATTTTTCAGGTTGATAAATCCTGGGATGAACTTTGTTGCAGTAAAAATTTTATTTTGGCCCCATTTTAAATCAAAGTTTATTTTAAGGTGCATCTTTTCTTAGTTTTTAATCATTAATTAATATTTCAATGCTGTGTTTCTGTCTCTCCCTGTAGCTCCTTACCTCGCCTCTCAGACATTAGATAGTTCACTCCTCACACAGCCTAGTGCCTCTTCTTCATCCAGCCACACTTCATCCAATCAACAGTCTAGCTCCACCTCTACCACAGCCAGCCAGCAAACCCCCTCAGCACCCAACAGCAGCAGCACCAACGGCGGCTCTGGAAACGCCTCCGCTTCATCCAACGGCCTGCCGGCGTCCTCGGGCCAGCCGGGCAGCACCGTGCCATCTGGAAAGCCCAACTCTTTCCCGCCTTTCGGAACCGTGAACAGCCAGGGTTCCCAGAGCGGACAGCAGGCCGCCACCCAGAACGCTTCCACCTCAGGGGACGGCTCCAGCAGCCAGGCGCAGGGGCCCACAGAGCCTCCTGAAAGGTACAGCACACTAGAACATTGCTGGTGCTTCTGGAAGGTTTCTAACAGTTTCACCTAATTGAAAGTGAGCTCTGCTTTTCTTTCACAGCACTTTGGAGCGGGAGAAGATAGGCGTGCCTACAGACGGGGAGTCCCACGCCGTCACCTACCCTCCTGCCATTGTTGTTTACATCGTGGACCCCTTTAGCTACGAGGAGGCAGACAGTGGCTCCCATTCCAGCGTTTGGACGCTGGGTTTGCTGCGCTGTTACCTGGAGATGCTTCACTTTCTGCCTCCAAACATTCGCAACTCTATTTCTGTACAGGTGAGCAAACAACCAACTCTGGATTCCTACGGAGTAAACTTTGTTCAAATTTCGTGGAAAGACTGAAAGAGAGAAACAGATGTAGTAAATGGAAATAATAAAAAAACTGATTTGGTAAATACATTTTGGAAAAATGAAATCCAAATGGGAAACTTTGTCGAACTTTTAAATATTTTTTATTTTTTTTTTATTGTCTATGCTTTTTTCTTAGGGGAAAAAAGATCACATTTATTTTTCATAGATAATTTTTCTTCAAAATAAAATTCTGAATAACATTTACAGATATTTTTTATTTATTTATATTTTTGAATTGTATTTTCACTTTTTTATTACAAAACTTTATTTCATTTTTTGTCAAATTTCAGGGTTTTTTTAGATCGAATTTGACGGATTTCATTCTTTTGAAATTGAAATTTCAGCGGTTTAGTTTTGGTCAGTGTTTGCGTTAAGAGCAAATGTTTGTATTGGGCTTGATGTGAAGAAAATGTGAAAAATTATTTTAAAAGCATGCAATTCTTATAAAACTTTATCTGAAAAATTGAAATCTTAAAACAAAAAACATTTGAAAATATAAAATCTTTCAAATTCAAGAAGCTGAAAATATAAAATTTCAATTTGTTTTATTTGAAAATATAAAGTATGTCAAGATTTGAAGAAACCAAACAAAATTGAATATTAAATAATGTAACAAGCTAAATCTAAGAAAACAGCCAAGTTACTCTCAATACCTTGTTTGATTGAAATGTTTTACAGATTAGTTTTTTTTTGTTTTTTTTTACGTTCCTTGCTTAAAACAATAATGGAACAAAATTTACTCCATAAATTCAAAGCTAATTTAGATCATTTTTTTTTACTAAATGCACAAAATCACCAAAGAATGATGCATCCAAACCTTTTGGCATGAAGGCTAGAATAATGAGGCAGTGTGAATGAATGAGAGGTTTGAATTTTATGTAATTTTTTTTATAATTCACAAAAAAAAAACTAATATTTAGTTAAATGGCTCCCAAGAAGCTGCAAAAAGAAAAAACCTGCTAATCTCTTATAACCAAGAAGTTTCTGCATCATCTTATTTCCAACTTTGCTGTTTTTCTCCCATCAACCCTGCTTTTAAATAAAGTCTAGATGTTTTTAGAAAGCTTGATCTGTTCTGAGGAGGTTACAAGCACCCGGTTTGATTCCCGAAGCCTGCTCTGGGTACCTGAGCAAGACCCTTAACCCCACACTGCTCCCTATGGGGATGGGTTAAAATGCAGAGAGTTCATTTCCCTATTTTGGGACAATAAAGGGATTTATAATACATAAAGCGGGGGTCTTCAGTACAGTTTTCTGAATTTTCCAGACTCAATGTCCTGCATGTTTGAGGTATTTCCCTGCCTCCAAACACCTGACTTTAATAAAGGAGTATTTAATTCAGATGCATGCAGGCCGGTAGGTCCTGAGGACTCCTTATCTAACAGATTCAGCTTATCTCCAGACTGCAGCAGAATTTAGCTCTTTAAATCTTTAACCTAAACATAGGAAAGTGATTATTGTTGTTGTCTCTCCTCTCAGATTATTCCATGTCAGTATCTGCTTCAGCAAGTCAGAGGAGAAGACCATCACATCTACGCACAGCACCTCAAATCCCTGGCCTTCTCCGTCTTCACTCAGTGCAGACGGCCGCTGCCCACCTCCACCAACGTCAAGTCACTAACGGGCTTCGGCCCCGGCTTAGCCATCGACAACTCACTCAAGAGCTCAGAGGTAACATGCTGCAGAACTCTTAAGTTTAAAAAAAAGTCTAATTCTTTCTTGATATAAGGCGATTTTCTCTTGATTTGAGCAGGTTAGTTAGACAAACTGATTTTGTTTCAAATTAGAAAAAGCAGCTTCGCTATCTTATTTCAAGAGCATAATATCTACTTGTTTTGAGGGCAAAAATAGACAAGTCATTGGGGGAGATTCTTATTTACTGGCTCAATTTTTAAAAGTTCCTCTAATTTTAGACATTTTACAGCGAAACATGTACGGCACAGCTGCTTGGATTTATTTAAGCAGCATTTCTAATTCTGATCCCTTTATAAGCATAGAGACGTTTAGAGGCATTATTTACACAGATTGGTATTCAGCCCACCATTAAACAGATCTCAATCCTCTGTCACCCCTTGAAGATTTAGCCGGCGTATGCCTGACGTACGAAAAATCCAGCAAAAACGCTGACATACGTTGGATAAGTTACAGGTACATTTTGTTTTGAATAAGTTATGAGCACGCTGAAACACGCTGGCACATGTCGACATACAGCAAGTACATCCAGAAGTATGCCATCGTATGCTCATACGTGGGACATAAGTTACAAGTAAGTTATCTGATTGTTGACATGCGTTAAGTGTATTTTACTCATAAGTCGTGGCATCTAGCTTATCCAAAACCAAAATCATTAACTTGTTCATAACTTATGTGTAACTTCTCAAGAACTTCTCTCCAACACATATCAACGTATCTGACATGTTCCAGACAACACAGATTGTGTTTCTAACGTACAGCTACTGTTTAATAGTGTATTCGCAGCGAATTAGTATAAAAAGGGGTTCACAGGAGGAAACCATCAGTTCTCCTCCTGACTTCATCCCCATCTTGGGGTGAGCCAGAAGGTGAGTGTGATGGATCCTCCCTGCGTTCATGCCCACAGCCAACAAATCTTCTAGCAGACATGACGCTGAATGTGATGCAACGGCAAACCTTCTTTCTTTTTTCTTTTAATTTCTTCTTTTATTTTGGGAGGGCGGTAAACAGCCGCTAGGTTAATACCGCGATCAAATAAATCTTTTTAAGCAACATTCGCTGCTCCCCTCCGACACAAGTTCTGGACTCGTTATGAATACTCTATGTATGTGCCCAAAATTGAAAAAATACATGAAAAGTTCAGCGTATGCCAGAGTTTTAGGAGATTCTGACGTTAGGCATACGCTGGCTAAATGGTGAAGGTGTGACAGGGCCCTCAGGTCCTTGTAGTTACAGAAGCAGAAGAACTCATAACCTCTGTTTCTCCAGAGTTTAATCTTTTGTTATCTGTTTTGCTAGCTCTCTGAAACATTCATAATGGGATTTCTACGGCCTGTTTGGGCAAAGGTGGTCCTTAGATCAGGATCTGATTAAGTTAGCTTCTTTCCTCGCATCAAATTTGACCCTTTATCCGACCTACTAGTCAAATTTTAGACTCCCTTTCACAATAACTGACAATAAAGAATGTGTGAGGTCTAACACCTAAAACACTGTAAAACAAGGAAAGAAAGGCACAGAGGCAGAATTCTTTTTACTCGCGAGGAGAGTAGGAAGAGACGTGCAGGTACATCTCCGCCCCACTCTGCCGGTCTTCAGCTTTCTCCTCGCTATTTATTAAAGTTAGAGGGGGGGGTCCCTAGTTACACAAGCTGAGGTTGCGCTAAAGGAATAGGAAACAAGAAATATAATTCAGTTTCCAGCCTCAGTGAACAGGTCAATTTGCATTTAAATGTCTTGCGGTCAAATGGTCGGAGAACCTCCTGGTTTCATTAAGAATGAGCAATACTTCCTGAGGGTTGACCTATACTGCTTGTCAACACCTCTCTGGAACAGCAATATGTCACACATTATACATCATAAGAACAAACATTAAGTATCTTTTACATAATTATTCCAACAGAATGTCCAATGGGTCTTTTTTAAGCTTTGGCCCTTTGATTATTAAATCCGACAAGTTTTCTTAACATAATTTTCCTTTTCTTCCATTTGCAGAGGCCAGAGTGTTTGCGTCTCTACACGCCTCCATTTATCCTGGCTCCAGTAAAGGACAAGCAGACGGGGCTGGGCGAGACGTTTGGTGAAGCATCACAAAAATACCATGTGCTGTTTGTGGGATACTGTCTGTCCCACGACCAGCGCTGGCTTCTGGCTACATGCACTGATCTGTACGGGGAACTGCTGGAGACCAACATCATCAACATCGACGTGCCCAACAGGTGCTTCAGCTTCTCCACGCCTGATAAGCTGTCTCATTTTTTTTTTTAAATCTCTGGTTTAATGAAGATTTTTTTTTTAATGCATTTTAGATTAAATTAACATGAATTACAAAAAACTGATGTGGTGAATATGTTTGTGTTGCACAGAGCTCGGAGGAAAAAAGGCTCCGTACGTCGGCTCGGCCTGCAGAAGCTGTGGGATTGGTGCCTGGGATTAGTTCAGATGACATCTGTTCCTTGGAGAGTGGTGATTGGCCGGCTGGGCAGGATGGGGCATGGAGAGTTAAAAGGTGATTCGATATTTTATATCAAATAAATCTGTTACCTATGTCTACAGGGTGGGAAACAGATGTTTCACAACTCTTTTAATATACACAGTTCCAACATGTTGTTGACCTGATATTCTGGGGAGGCAGCGATCAACCTGCTGGCGGCCAGACAGACCACATTTCCTTAATTTTTCCTAATCCACGATCATTTGGATCTTCCCCAACTCTCCAAAAATAACAAAATCAGCAGCTGTCAACACGCAAAACCAGCTACGTCTTATTTCAAAGTCTCCTATAGGGAAATATATGATGAAGTAAAGCATTTAGCACAACAAAGTATTAAAGGAAAAGTCCGGTCAGCAAGGAAAGATCAATGGATCATTATCTATACCTAAAAATAATATTTTCGCTGTGATATAATGAATTAAGCATCAATCAGTAAGTTAATCAGTGGTCTGGGAGCGGCCATTTTTGCCCAGACGTATTAAGAACTCACTCCTGAGTGCAATATGCTGGTAAAGATTATCAGTCATCGAGGTCATAGTTATTCCAAAAATAAAAAACAATCCACTGGACTTTGTTTCCAAGTTTTAAGATGTTTCTCTTCCCATCCAGGAAGCTTTTTCAATTCAAAATGTCTGGATTGGCATTAAGGTTGAGGCTTTATCTTTTACTCCTGCCATCTTCCGGCAGTGACGTCACGGTGCGGTTAGCCTAGCGCCATTCTCCCCACTTTACAAGCAAAATCAATGGAAACTACTAGACACATCTGCAATCAACAACAATTATTGAAGATTTCCAGAGGACTTCACCATTGAAATTCACCAGAGCTATAGTGAAACTGACAATGCCCACGTGCATGGCAGCTGGATGTTGGAATACATCGGGTGAAAGTGGGAAAAAAAAAATTATTTCACCTTTCGGATTCCTGATCCTCCACGGACGGGTTTGTTGTTGGATTGCCAACTTGAAGAGGGAGGATTTGCCATCGAACTTCTGGCCAGAGAAAAAACCCGTAATATGTAGCCAACATTTGGAAGAAGAATGTTTTCAAGATGACTTGGATAATAGCGCGTTGTGACAAACACCAGATACAGCACTGGGACTTGATCAACAGCCGATACCGCACCGTGACGTCACAAACCAGTAGGTGGCAGTAGTGTTCTTTGACAAACATGGATGCCTCCAGTAAAGCACATTCATATGAAAATTGCTGTTAATTAAAAACACATTTATTGAAGAGTATGTAACAATTTCATATTTAAAGTACTTTCAGAAGTTTAAATTCTGGACTTTTCCTTTATTAGCCATGAAATTTAGTTTCCTCCCAACCCAGAGGAAAATAGTTGCCGTATCGCTCCAACTCTGAAGCAAATGAAGTTCAGAAATTCCTTAAGGTCATTATCCTAGCTTAGTTTTAAGCTAAAAATCAGCTGCCAAAGGATCCACTTGGTCTGAATCACTGCACCCTGCCTCACATCGGAGGAAGTGGGCGTTTGTTTAATGTGCCGGCGCAGCGCGGTTAAGGCAGCTTCCTCCTGCAGCGGCGCTGTTACCTATTTATTCTGGGTTTTCCCATGACAGGGAGGGGCGGAAACTCATGAGGATATGCATGAATCAAATCATTTAATGCATTATTTTAATGATGAAATATAATTATCATAAAGTTAAAAGCTCCTCAAAAATAACTTTGCATGATTATTGGCCCTTTAATGTTTTTTATAACATATTTGAAGTGGATTTTATCACAGATAATATCAGTTGTTAACAAGAAATAAGAATCTCTAAGTCGGGCTTTTTAAAGGTTCATTATCTTCCAGAAAGTTCATCGATGCCCCCCCATTTCATTCTAAAAAATCAGCGTTGATTTTAGTGAAAGTTTAAAAAAGCCAAAAACAGATAATTTAAAACCGGTCGTTCTGGTTAACTCAGCTGGTTTATCCACAGCAATCCCAGTAAAGTTTATGGTCATAGATGCGTTTCCATGGCGGCGCTTCAACGTTCGCTAATGTCTCTCCTCTCTCTACATCTCAGACTGGAGCATCTTATTGAGCAGGAGAAACCTGCAATCAATCAGCCGCCGTCTGAAGGAAATGTGTCGAATGTGTGGAATCTCCGCCTCCGACACTCCCAGCATCCTCAGTGTGTGCCTGGTCGCCATGGAGCCGCAGGGATCCTTCATCATCATGCCAGGTACGGTGTGACACACGCACACGATGGCGTAGAAGCTGTTGAGTTTTGATGTGGTGCCTCTGATCTGGATGGCTCCGCCCAGAAAACAAGCAGGGGGATGTTTGTGTGTGCGGTATGACGGATAGCCGCCACATATCACAGGCCTTTCCGCCTCCACATCCGGAGCAGATGGATGACGGGTGTACCTTTCTCTCATGAAGCACTGCCTCTCAGATGCCCATCGACCTCGTTTCAGAGTGACGGAGAGCCCGATCGATGGCTTTATCTGGGGAGTGTCAGTCATCATGCTAGGATTAAGTAGAGTTATGCATCTCCTGTTGAAAAGCTCTCAAACTGAAAGCTTGTGTTAAGCTCAGATAAGACCGAGGGATCAGGAACGAACAGAACAGGTAGGATGACAGAGGCTTTATCTGTATACAGTAAATATACATCAAACCTGTCAGAGCTGATCTCTGCTGCCTGTTCCTTCTGTTCTATTCCGTCTTTGCTTCTTCCACCTTTAAATATCCCCAATTCTGAAATAAATTCTAACATCCGATAAAGATAACCTCAGTAAAAGAGTAGCAACTAGGGCTGAAACAATCGGATTAATCGTTAACTGGATTATAGAGATTTGAAATTATGTCTTTAACTGACAGAACGTCACACTTAGAGTAGAAACGCTACCAACTCGTAAAAGATTATTTAAATAATTTGCATTTAAGATTATAAATCTGTCAGTATGCTCTGTCCAGGAAAAGTTTTATTTAGATTTTTTTGATTAGCAAAATAATCTTTAGTTGTAGCCCCAGTAGGCACGATCTAAAAAAAAATCTAAATCCATGTTTGGTTTCTTCTTTGGATTTTCTGTTTTAAAACATATAAACAAAGAGCTGGTGAAGATTCTCAGTCATCCAGGTCATAGTTGTTCCAAAAAAAGAAATTTAAAAACAATCCACTGGACTTTGTTTCCAAGCTGGAAGACGTTTTGCTTCCCATCCAGGAAGCTTTTTAAATTCATAATGTCAGTAATAACGTTGAATTTGAGTTTATACAGTAGCCCAACAAAGCCCCATACCTGTCTAAGTGTCATTTCAGACACTTAGGGGGTATCACAGGCTAACAAAAGAAGCCAAACGACCCCCATTCCAAAGAGGTGGACGCCTTCGTCCGTTTTAATTTGCATGTTTTCAAAATAAAAACAAGGTTTTGTTGAGCTACTGTATAAAACCTTGAACGCAACTCTGTTAACTCTATAACTCTAAAAGCAGACGACCTAGTTTCTGAGTATAAACCAGCCTTTAGTGACCCTGATCCGAAGAGTTGGATGGATTCACCGTTTGTTTTGATTTAGATGTTTGGTGTTAGATGAACGTACTCTGGAGTCGAGCCTGTGTTCGTCTCTCAGACTTGCTGAATAAAGGGATTTCCTTGCTGCCGTTTGTTGACGTTCTCTCTCCTCCCCTCTCAGACTCCGTCTCCACAGGCTCCGTGTTTGGCCGGAGCACCACCTTAAACATGCAGACCTCGCAGCTCAGCACGCCGCAGGACACCTCCTGCACGCACATCTTGGTGTTTCCCACCTCCGCTTCTCTTCAAGTGGCCAGCTCCAGTTACACCAACATCGACAACAACATCGACCTCCTCAACGCCACCACCGGTCAGTGGCGCCTCCTCTGCTGACTCATCTCTGGAAGCTTTGTTTCTGTTTTTATTTCTTTTCTGCTTGTTTCCTAATTACGCTTCTTTTATATATTTCCCAGATGGATCTGGTATTGGGATCTTTGACCTGCTTGACCCGGAGAATGAGTTGGAGGCAGCCATCATCAACATGTCACCCACTACTTCTCCAGTACACTCCCCCAGCCATAATTACCACCACGGGGTGGACGGCAGTAAGGTGAGGCATCGCTAACGTCCTGAAGGACGGATCCGTGTGACGCTGCTGGCGAGGCTCACGTCCTGCTTCTGTTCTGCAGGGCCAGAGCACAGACCGCATGGAGTCTCACGAAGAGGTTCCTAACCTCCTGCAGCAGCCGCTGGCGCTTGGTTACCTGGTCTCCACGGCGAAGGCCGGCCCGCTGCCCGACTGGTTCTGGTCGGCCTGTCCGCAGGCTCAGAACCAGTGTCCGCTCTTCCTCAAGGTATCAAACCTCTTTAAGTAAAAACGTCTTTCACTGCGGTTTTTAACAGAATATAATCAAGATCAGGTTAAATAGATCGTCTTTGATCATTTAATAGTTGAATAAAAATCATAATAACCAGCTAAAGTACATGAAATTTCCCCATTAAACAGCTTCTTATCATGCATTATATACAGAACCATGTGAGAAAAATTTTTATATTTAAATTAATTTATTCCAGAAATTTAACTCAAAAGTGGAGCTGAAATTTATTACAGTTATTGAATTTTTTTTTTTTTCACATTCTTACTTTTGATTATTTAGTTCACAGCTAAATAATCTAAGTACTTGATTGTGGAAGTGTTTAGTCGCTTTAATAGCAGCTTTTATGTCATCTGCCTTGTTGGCTTTGCTGTTTTATCTTCCTGTTTACATTTGTCCTTAAATGATCTATAAGCTTCAGCTCATGGTATTCATTTAAATTGCTTCCTGTCCACATTTCAGTAAACCTCCTTAAATGAGCTGGTGAAGATTCTCAGTCATCCAGGTCATAGTAATTCTAAAAAAAGTAAAAAAAAAAACAATCCACTGGACTTGTTTCAATGTTTGAAGACGTTTTGCTTCCCATCCAGGAAGCTTTTTCAATTTAATTCAAATGTCATAAATAGCGTTGAGTTCCAGGCTTTATAGAGTGAACCAAAAACAATGCCTTGTTTTGGCTCCGAAAACATGCAAATTGAACCGGACGAATGACTCCACCCCTTAGGAATTAGCAGTCGTTAGGGTTCTTTTTTAGCCTGCAATACCCTATGATATCATCACTACCCCCGCCTATTCAGCCAGGCCAACAATTCCCTTCAATTTTAGATTAGATTAGATTCAATCTAATGTTCCCCCTTTCAGAGACATAGACAAGTATGGGGCAGGCTAAAAAAGAAGCAAAATGACCCCCATTCCACAGAGGTGAACCCGTTCGTCCATTTCAGTTTGTCATAAACTTGGCCTTGTTTGGTCTACTGTATAAAACCACAAACTCAACGCTCAACGTCCTCAAACTCTTCCTCTACATCTTCGTCCCGCTTTCCTCCTATAAATAAAAAATGGATGACGGAGGAGACTCATCCAAAACTCTCCTCCTCTTGCATGTTTCCTCTGTCCATAGCGTTCCTTGACAGAGTCGTTTCTAAGTCACCAATTTAGTGCTACTTGGTCCCAATGGAATATCCCATTGGGAACCTGCTAGCACTAAGTTGCTAACTGGTTAGCAAGATGCTTCAGAGACACCGGCCACAACCAAACTTGCTTATGTACCTTCCGCCACAACAACCCCGCCCCCTTGATAAACGACCAATCAAATTCACTTTATTCACTCGTGTAAAGTCGTGCGGAGAATTCGGAAATGCAACGGTTGGAACAGCCGCTTCCCTACGACTTTAAATATATTGTTATTGTTTGACAAACAAAATACAAGTTTAAGAAACCCCTGGAACTGAAATGAAGTAGGGGGGATTTTCTAAAAGAGGAAAGCTGCGGAAGCTCGTGTTTTTGCCCACTGATATTTATTGCCTCTGGATTTGGTTCCAGACTCACTGCGGCGTCGGAGCAAATATCAATAATTATTCTGCTGAGATGAAATGAAAGATTAAAGCTTTGAAGAGGCCTTTGACACTGTGTCTCTCTCTTGATTTCCTCTCTCAGGCCTCTTTGCACCTCCATGTGTCTTCTGTGCAATCAGACGAGCTTCTGCATAGCCGGCACTCCCACCCCCTCGACTCCAATCAGACCTCAGATGTACTCAGGTAAACAACTCCACCGCACGCTCCGCCTGGAGTCAAGAGAACGGTTTACCGGCTGTTGGCAAGAGAGTTTCCATTTATAGAGCAGATGTTTTTTCCTGTGGAGTTTGAATAACCGCTGGTCGGTTTCTAGTTGTGACTTTGAGTTTGTTGTGTCTGAACAGATTTGTGCTGGAGCAGTACAACACTCTCTCCTGGCTTACGTGTGACCCGGCAACGCAGGACCGAAGATCATGTCTGCCCATTCACTTTGTGGTGCTCAACCAGATGTACAACTTCATCATGACCATGTTGTAACCAGCAGCCTGTCAGAGGAGAGGCGGAGGAAGGAGAAGCCTTCAAAGAGGAGCAAAGTGGCACCAGAGTACAGAGCTGGATCCTGTACCCAGATGGAATCCCTGCTCCCGGCCCGGCCCGGCCCGGCCCGGCCCGGCCCGGCCCGGCCCGGCATGGCCCGCCATCACCAGGACTCAGAGTGTAGAAAACCGGCAACTAATGAACGCCAGAGATTGACGGGTTTACTGTCATGGTATGTAGCGTGGCAGCAGAGTCACTGGCCAGTCTGTATTAGAGAGTTTATCTGTAATGTTATTGGAAGAAAAGGGACATATTTGATCTAGGAAAAACGGATCTCTGCTTTTAATACGACAAAATCCTTTTTAAGGCTTTAGATGAAAAAGTATCCAAATGAAATGCCTGCATCTATCTTATTTATTGTAAGTTTTTAAATGTATAAATTGTCATATTTCTTACCCTCTTTTATATATAAAATGAAGGTTTATATCACCTTCCTGCTTTAAAGCAATTGGTCTCAGATATATGTATTCGTCTTAATAAAGGAACCTGGAAGAAAATCCCATAAAAAAAAAAAGAAATAAAGTCCCAGTAGGTTGCTTTTAGAGTATTATTTTTTTGTAACGGAGACAGAATATTTGTATTGTCACAATGTACAGAAGAATGAGAGGAGAATTATGTTTCATGCCTTTGAGCATGAAGGACTTACAGCAAGGCTGTAGCTACAGAGGACTTGTACAGCAATGAACTTCACTGTGTTCAAATAAAGAGGTACATTGTTGTATAGGATATTTTATACCACACATTTAGACACAAAAACCAAACTGCAATATATATATATATATGTATATATATATATACATATATATATACATGAATACCACGCCAACTGGTGGTGTGGTTTCTGTTTTAGGAATAAAGTGTGTCGACTTACTTTCCTGTGCTTCCTGTGTTCTATTGGGGGGGGGGGATACATAATAGTATTTAAATGTCATGTAATTAAAGTTGGAGTTTCACATATAAATGTCTCAATACATACAGTAAGTATTTCCATGTCTTTAGATTAATTACTTCATGGATCTATTTAATAATGTTTATATATATATATATACATTTAATAATCCTCAGTCTGAAGGGCTTGATTGGAGTTTGATCCAATCTCGTCCCAGAATGTTTTTACCGCTGATATATTTAGTACGTACATTATAGCAAGGGAACAAATTAATTTTGGCATTGAAATGTTTCCCTCCTCAGTGACACTGAATAACAAATATATTCTCACCGCCCACTTTATTAGGTACAGCTTGCCTATAGGTAAGGTGTTCTGTCAGACCACCTTACCTATAGTCAATACGCATGCCCAATACGTCAAATTTGCGTTTATCCTTTAGTTTTGTACAAAAAAATAGACTTAAAACTACCTTGACAGGTGTGTATCCCTGTAGTCACGTACAAAAAAAAGACAATTTAAGGTCATGCGATTTAAAAAAACACCGAGTAAGTAATTCAAATGTTTTTTGTACATGATTAAAGGGATACACACCCGTTGAGGTGGTTTATAGTGAAGTTTTTTTATAAAACTAAAGAGATACACGGGTATTGACTATGGGTATGTTGGTCTGACAAAACACCGGGTTGGACTTGTGAAGTTAGGAAGCTGAGGCAGAGGCTTTTCTTGCAAGAAAAAAGGTTAAAATTTATTTAACGTCCTCAGACGGAGAGATATAGCTCTGACTGGGCAAAACTAAGTACATACTTTTATAAAGCAAATCCTAAAACACACACTCGCTCTTGGAACTATCCCCATCCCTACATAAAGAACTTTCTCACACATGAACATTTGGAGGAAAAACAAATTAAGTTCATCAAGGTTATTACCTGTTAGGTTAATATATCTTTCACTGGCCAAATGAATCTTCTCAAAGCAACAGTCCTCCCCTTCATGCCATGAAGGAGGCTGTGTGAACTCATTCTTATCTCTTATGACCTTCATTTGGAGCCTGTGAGGCTAAGAACAGATGTATCTCAACATTTTTTACTCCATTGACTGAACTGCCTTAATCCTTCATGGCATAGATTCAAAAACCTCCTGGAAACATTCCTCAGGGAGTTTGGTCCATATTGACATGATGGCGTCATGCGGATGCTTCAGGTTTGTTGGCTGTACATCGGTGTTGACTCCTGTTCCACATCCCAAAGGTGCTCGGATGCATTGATCTGGTGACTGGAGGCTATTAGACCCTAACTAAGGAACCAGGCTAGGATGATTCATGTTATCCTGCTCAGAGGAACCATCAGAAGATGGGTACCCTGTGGTCATAAAGGGATGTAACATGCTCAGCAATAACCTCTGGTAGGCTGTGACGTTGACATGATGCTCAGTTGGTACTAAGGAAATATGGTCCAGTCCTCAAGAACTTCCATCCGGTAACTTTTAGATGCATCTCTTCTCTAACACACCTGAATCAAAAGGCTCAATCCCCTCATTTAGCCCAACAGTTGCATCCTAACAAGCCACTCATTAGATTCAGGTGATTCAGGCAGGATAGTAGCTCTTGAGGACTGGTCTTGAGCACCCCTTGTCTACACCAATTACACCACCAGCACCAGTCTGAACAATTACAAGGCAGGATGGATCCACCAAACCCTGACCCTACAATCTGAATGTTGCAGCAGAAATCGAGACCAGGAAGGTGGTGTCTTCTACCGCTGTAGCCCATCCTCCTCAAGGTTTGACGTGTTGTGGGTTCAGAGATGCTCTTCTGCATACCTCGGTTGTAACAGGGTCAAGAAACAATGACCCCAAACACACAGCCAAGGAAACTCTCAATTGGTTTAAGGGAAAGAAAATAACGCTGCTAGAATGGCCCAGCCAATCATCTGACTGGAATCCAATAGAAATTCTACA